GCACGCACACACACACACACACACACACACACACACACACACACATACACAAATAGACATACAAGTATCAACCCCTCAACAACATAAGTGTAACTTGGGTGGCAACAGTCTATTTGGAGTCGGGGGGGGGGGGCGTCAGTGGGCAGGTGCGGCTGGGATAATCTTCTGTTGGAAATAACAGCTCCTAAATTGGGGTTCAAAGGGCAGGGGAAAAGAAGCGCTCAAGGTTTCTATATTGGCTGCAGAGTGGTTGCGGGGCAGGTGCAGACACCCTTGGAATCAATAAATGTGTATTCTATTACTTCTGTGTCTTATGACAGCATCTGCTTCTTTTGATGCTGAATCAATTAAAAATATGATCAAAAAGCTTTGAATGAATTCAGCGGTTGGACTCGTACCAAGTCTAGGAGTACTGAAAAGGGAAAAAAAAAGAGTATAAAGTCAGAGAATTACGTAAATAAAATAATAGTGTTGAAAATATTGCCACTGAAATATTACAAGAAAATGTGCATTGCAAGAACGGATGTGTAATTTGGGACAAATTTTAGGAGTCGGGGGGGGGGGGCGTCAGTGAGCAGGTGCGGCTGAGATAATCTTCTGTTGGACATAACAGCTCCTAAATTGGGGTTCAAAGGGCAGGGGAAATGAAGCGCTCAAGGTTTCTATATTGGCTGCAGAGTGGTTGCGGGGCAGGTGCAGACACCCTTGGAATCAATAAATGTGTATTCTATTACTTCTGTGTCTTATGACAGCATCTGCTTCTTTTGATGCTGAATCAATTAAAAATATGATCAAAAAGCTTTGAATGAATTCAGCGGTTGGACTCGTACCAAGTCTAGGAGTACTGAAAAGGGAAAAAAAAAGAGTATAAAGTCAGAGAATTACGTAAATAAAATAATAGTGTTGAAAATATTGCCACTGAAATATTACAAGAAAATGTGCATTGCAAGAACGGATGTGTAATTTGGGACAAATTTTAAAAATGGTAATTTGAGGAATAGTAATCATATAACAAGAAAACAGTCCGAATTTTTAAACTATGACACTGAACATATAAAAAAATAAAGTCCTAATTTTACAAAGAAAAAAGATATAATAAAATATGAATTAAAAAATAATAATATAATAAATAAATAATAAAAATAACAAATATGCTACTGAAAGATTACCGATATTTGTAATTTTACACTTTTCCAGCAGAAATGTGTCATTTTATGGAGATGAAGTTGTAATATTGCTTTATTACTTACTTCCAATTTATTAGAAAATTCTACTACAGAAAAAAGAAAATAAATCATTTCAAGGGAAAAAAAAGCATTCATAAAAGAAAGTTATTAAAATAGAGCTATTAAAATATTAATACTGCAGTGATAATCTCCAGCTCACCTGCAACCTTCATCAGGGTATGCAATCTATTCAATGGGCAAATGTTTTTGTTTGTTTGTTTGTTTGTTTTTTCAGTGTGGGCCTGCTCAAGTTGTCATGAGCATTTGAGTGGCACTGTGATGTGGGCACATCTGCTTAGCTTAGTATACAAGCTCCACTTCAGCCTAACTTCAGCTTTTAGAAGCCTCTTGTCCGAATCGAAAGTATATCCAAGTGCGTGTTCATGTCCTCTGTACTCTTCCATTGGATTTCCTATTTTGCTCATTGAGATCAAGTCTCTCCGCCATTCCCACACTTCCAGCACCGACTGCGTACTGTACAAGGCTTCAGCTGCCAAGACTAACACTGCCTCAAAAACAAGAGCTGTCCGCTGAATGAAAGTAGGGATGTTGTTTTTGACGCACGGACGGACCGTCAGTCTCAAAACGGCTTTAGAATACCACGTCTTGTGTCAACACCGTCTCTGGGATCCAATCCCAAGACCGTGCCTGTATCGTTGGACACCGTGAACAGGAATCATTAGATCGTTTCCAAACGGAAAACGTCTTTTCAAAGTAGCATTTGTGACTGTGGAAAATGAGGGGTGCATTTGGAAAATCACTTTGATGCCTGTGCACTACTGCGTGGGTCCGATCGGAGAGGCAGGGCGCGTTCATCTCACGTTAATTTCTGAATGTTATAAAGCGATCAGCAGCTCGTGCTTGATCTGTTTCCATCCGGACTGCCCGATACACCGTGTCCCACAACCCCCCGTTGGAGCACCAAGAACGCGCACTGCTACTCCATACTTGGTGCACTCGTAATAACCGAACGGCACACGCTTTGACTTTCCAAACGGTCAGAGTGAACCAATACACGCTCGCAACATACTCCGAGAGCGCCGTACTGTAGCATCGACTGGTCGTCAGTTAATAGCAGCTCAATTGTGAATGATAGTTGAATGAGTAGGAATCAATTACATGCTTTAACTATCCGAGTTGATTTAGGGTTAAAGGTTGACGACAACCTGATCGGGTTTATCGAAACGAAAGCATCCACGACCCAGTCAGCTGTGTGACACCTTATAATAACAATGGCATTTTATACTCCGCTACGAAATGCTGGACTGATTATCTGTCAGTCACTGGGCAATTTTAAAAGAGGTTGAGTGGAAAACAATCAAATGCAAGGCAACTATCTTCAGCACTACAGTGCCAATGGGGTGATCCAAAAGCTTTTCCAATTTCTATTTCTCACAGTACTTAGGGCAAAATCCATACTACACTCTGGAGTTACCAATCAATCACTGGATGATTCCGAACCGGTCATTGAAGGGAAATCCTTCCTTCTCCAAGTCGGCTTTATGAATCACTACACTATTAAGGGCATTTTAATATCACACACTCCTGTATTGCAAAAAGGTGGCCTACACCTTAGACTGCCGGGCAGTCAGTCATAGGGGGCACTGAGCGGGGATCACTTCAACACCAGCTAAACAAAAATTAGCATGGTGAACCACTACACTATGTGTGGAGCCTCTTGCAAAATCTTGAATTGGAATGGTAAAATCTGAGTTCTGAACAGGCCAAAACTGCCCTTCGTTAAGGTTTCTATAAAAGGCTTGATGTTTTCCATTGTAATTGGTCGGTTACCGTGGTTACAATGAAACCTTATGACAGCAAAGTCAGCTGAGAAACAGAACAACATCTCGACTTGTGATTTGTGAAAGTATTCTGGAACATGATGAGTCAACTTCCGCTCATGAGCTTTCAGGCTGTGCACTATATGAAGAAATCTTGTCCAGATTTCCTGAATTTTGTTACGTCCACGAAATACAGAGCTCAAGGCTGTCTCATATCGAAGATACAACATGTCAAAAAATGCAAATCTATATTCACATAGTCCCTCACAAATGGACCACGTGCGATGAATCAGGAATGAAAGCTGGCTCCATGCGCAAAACTTTCCCTTCTCTGCCAACTGTGCCGAATTAAAAAAACAGAGACGTGCATGTGTCCATGCCAGCTTCCTGCAATATGATCAGCAGACTGTGAAGGGCTGCTGGCCAACGTTGTGAGCTGGTGACTTTTATGTATTGTAAACAAGCAAAAGTATTGGCACACATATGAAGTTGGCCTGACTTGACAGCTACAGTATAATGTCAGATTGCACTCTATTTTTTCCCTTGGCCAAATGAAGAAGAAAATACTTTTTAAAATATGTGATTGAACAAGTAAACAAAACCTAAAGTAAGCAATAGAATATTAAAAAAAATGAAAATAGTAAATAGGTATATAAGATTTTAAAATAAAAATTAATGAAATGGAAAACATGTACAAATGGGAAAATATGAATCAAATGATTTTTTTTTTTTTTTAACTGTTATCACTATTATTCTTTGGGATGTTTCTGATGGTGTGGTGGCACACTCGCCTGACTTGTGTGCGGGCAGCGTGGCACCCATTCCCATTCAGTGCCCGTGTGGATGGATGTTGGGCTCTATGTGTGCCCTGCAAGTGGCGAGTGACCAGTTAGGGGTGTAGTCCGCTTTTCTCCCATAGTCAGCTTGGATAGGCTAAAGCAACCGCCCCGGCGCCCCTGTAAAGGATAGGCTGTGTTGAAAATGACATGACATGCCATCCTTTGGATGTAA